TGATTATATTGTCTGTCCTCACAATGAGTTCAGATTGAGCTATTAAGTCTGAATTATAAGTTTTTAAGGAAGAATTAAAATATTTCCAGGTGGTGAGGGCTTTTTTTCTCCTTATATTTATTGAACTTTTAATAAGAGAATGTACTTGTATTATTTCTACTTTTTAGAATTTATAGAGATTTTCTTTGTGACTTAATAAGGTCGACTGATGTCAATGTTCCAGGATCCTTAAAAAGAAAGTATATGTAGGGTGGTGCCTGTGGCTCAAAGGAGTAGGGCGCTGGCCCCATATATTGGAGGTGGCAGGTTCAAACCTGGCCCCAGCCAACCAAAAACTGCAAAAAAAAAAAGAAAAAAGAAAGTATATGTATTCTCTGTTTTAAAGGTATAAATTAGAGACATATAATTTAGCTCTACCTTGTTAGTTATATTATTTAGGACTTTTATTTAATTATTTATCTTTTATTTGTATTGTCTATTTGGATTGAAGAGGTTAAAGTGTTCTGATAAGTTTTTCTCTATAGAAGACTTATATATCCTAAAGTCTTTGTTTTATTGAGCTATATTTTTTTTTGGTTCCTTGATGGTCATAGTGGCTATTTTTATTACAAATTATGTAATTTAACATTACACATTACAAAAAGTGTTCTTCTTTGTGTATGTGTGTTTTCTTTTTAGAGACAGAGTCTCACTTTATTGCCCTTGGTAGAGTGCTGTGGTGTCACACAGCTTACAGCAACCTCCAACTCCTGGGCTTAGGCAATTCTTTTGCCTCAGCCTCCCAAGTAGCTGGGACTACAGGTGCCCACCACAATGTTCAGCTATTTTTTTGTTTCAGTTTGGCCAGGGCTGGGTTTAACTCACCACCCTCGGTATATGGGGCCAGCACCCTACCATCTGAGCCACAGGAGCCACCCCAAGAGTGTTCTTCTTTGATTCATTTAATTCTTGGCTTGAATTCACATTAAGATTTGATATTAAGATCATGTCTTGATTCCTTTTCATTTGCATTTGCCCACCTTTTTTTTT